GAAGTCACAAGTTATGTGCAAGACTACATGTATACTTGTCCCAATTGTTATTCCAAGTGCAATCAACTTATGGAAATTGATATTGTTATCAAAAGGGATTAAGTGGCTGAGAAATGTCGATCGCAGTTTAGTAAGAGTTCCCCTACAAACTGGAATGAGAACAAGAGCCATGTTGAACTTTAGAGTCTCAGCAGAACCCTTTGCAAAGCAGAGGCATTGACCCATGATTTTGTATAATCCCTTCTGCTGGTATTGCTTGTATTTCCAAGTAAAGAGGCCTATGTTTACTGCTAACCACAATGTGACAATCCATATTTTCTTCCAGTTTTCGTGTAGATGTTCTGCCGTTGTAGATAGGAATTTGCTAACAGGAGTTCTGTATCTTCTGGGGATCATGGCTCTTGTGAGGGTTTGGGTTCTCTTGCCCAACTTTTGATTTTCTTCGGACACGACCATTTCCCTCAGAAGAGTTTCTAACTGCCACATCTGTGAAAATAGAATATAAGAAGATGATGAAGGTGAGAAGCAATAGCTAAAGCCATGAACAAGCTATTATCTTCACCTCTATATATCCAAGGTGGTCAGGGTCAAGCTCTTCCATGATCAAAGCTGCATATGACTCTGCTTGCTGCTTAAATTTCGCCAGCTTGTTCGCCGAGGCACTCAAAACTATAACCTTTTCCATAAGAAATTTTAGAAATCTGATTTACAAACATGGAAAACAAATGATAAAGAACATGTAATGGGGTCTCTGTGCTCACCTCTGTTACCTCTTCCTCTGAGAGCATCCCATCACCATTCTTGTCACACCTAACAAAATCATCAGCTTTGCTTATTCTAGTTTGTGTTGAAGCATGTGAGCTTAAGAAAGAGGAGTTTTCCTTACATGTCAAAGAATATCTGAAGTCTAGCTTCCATATCTTCATTTGTCATGTCTTCCCAAAACAACCTCAATTCTTCAAGAGTTATGCCATCTTCTGCACATATTTTTCTCCTCCTGGCCAATGCATCATACAATTCGCTGGCAAAGTCCTTCGAATCTCCTCCCATTCCTACGAAACAAAAGCATCTAAAACCTCACATACATTGTGTTCCATGTTCCATTTCATAATACACAAAAAACAACTTACAAAGGGGTAAAATAAGCATAAGACTCAATTACCAATGCAGGCTCCAAATTTGTCCTTAGAGAGCCTACCATCACCTCCATATTGATTAAACCGCCTCTCAATCTGCTTCCATGCCTCCCCTTCTTTCCCTGTAGCAGTCCTATCGAGAAATCGCAGGCTCTTAATCCCTTCTTTCCCTCCTGGTTCCACCCTAAGTCCCATGCCACCATGGCTGCTTCCTTGAGCCCCATTTCTCTTCCTTACACTGCTGTTGTTCCTCTTCAATGTAGTCTCATTGGAACTTTTGCTTGCATTGCCTCCTGTGTCATTGCTATTTAAAGGCACATCCACCATGGGGTCAATATCAATTCTTTGAAGCATCCATTTGTTTGGGTCTTGCTGGTCATCATTTTCTGAGAGGTTCATTGCCAACATGAAATTATTACCTTCAAAGATTTACGTGTCCCTTAAGATCTGAGTAAAGGGAAAGACAGAGAAAGAAGGCGCTGGTGGGTTGTGGGGAGAAGACAGAGCTGAAAGGGTCAAATGAGTGTTGCAAGGAGGGAAGAGTAATTGAAGGTTCAGTTCGTTTTGTTAGCTTTTTGTCTAATAATAGGAAATCAATATCGATTAGTAATTGAAGGTTCAGTTCGTTTTGTTAGTTCGTTTCGTTATATTCAGGCAAATTAAAATTTTCTCACAATCTTTCATAAATTGGTGTCATTGTTTGTAAAATTGTGATAGTGAGTTACATATTAATATTTAAAGAGTAACGCCGGCTATACTTGTGAAATATATTTGCATATTTTAGAAGTATAATTACGTGGCTATACCTATACTACACAAAATGGTTTTTACTTATTTCCTTTTTTAATTACTTTAATTTGTAATTAAGTTTCAATTATTATTTATTGAGTGAATAATTAGTATTTAAATATTCTACTAATTTAATAAATTACTTAATAAATAGTAATTAATTATTAAATGATTTTGTGTACTTTAATTTCTATTTTTTTTATACAAATTTAGTTTGTTTAGTTTAATATTTGCACTTAAGTAATATCTTAGCCTTATTTAATTATATTAATTATCAATTATTTAATGAATAATTAGTTTTTAAGTATTTTAATTAATTTCATAAATTACTTAATAAATTATAATTTGTTATATTTACTTATTTTAAAGCTAACTTATACTTCTCTTGCCTATTTTAATTGGATTTATATTCAAGCAAATTACAATTATATCACAATCTTTCATAAATTGGTGTGATTGTTTGTAAAATTGTGAGAGCTCTTACATATTAAAATTTAAAGAGTATAGCCGCGCGGCTATATTTTAAACGTATAGCCGGTTGGCTATACTGTGAAATATATTTACCTATTTTAAAAGTATAGTCGCACGGCTATACGACACAAGATGGTTTTAACTTATTACCTTTTTTAAATTATTTTAATTTGTAATTATGTTTTAATTATTATTTCTTGAGTGAATAATTAGTATTTAAATATTTTACTAATTTCATAAATTACTTAATAAATAGTAATTAATTATTTTAAATGATTTTGTGTACTTTAATTTTTATTTTTTTATACAAAATATTTAATTATATTAATTATTAAATATGTTTTATTATGTTTATATAATCCAAAACTAATCAAAAGGTTAGGCCCAAGTGCCACTCCACTAGGCCCACCTTCCATATGGCATGTGTGGGAAGGCTCCCACTTATAAGAGCAACTCCAGCGCATGGGCCAGCCCGGGGGAAAGGCTGCCAGAGGGAGCCCGAGGCAGCTCCAGCGCAGGGCCCGTAGCCCGGTTTGGCGGTGGGTCCCATGAGCCCGACGAAGCCCAAGGGCAATTCTTGCCCGGGTTGAAGCCCGAGTTGGATGACGTCAGCGTGACGCCAGCGTGACGCCAGCGCTGACGTCAACCACTGACAGCACCAACGGGCGTGTACCACGTGGCGCAACGGGGACTCTTGGATGGATTTTTTCCAGAAATCCGACGGTCCTCGTTTTTTTGGCTAAAAAAATTGCAAAAAAAATCGAAAAAATTCTGAAATTTTTTTAAAAAAATACCCAAAAATTATGTATTTTTTCTCTATAAATACCTAACCATTTTATTTACTTTCCACACTAAATCTTCATACAATTTCTTCTCCATCCAATATTTTTTACTCTCCACTCACATT